ATTAATCAAGTCCTCCTGCACCGCAAGCATATCTATGTTCATAAAGCTCAACTCAAGAAGACGATGGAACTCAACCGTTTGAGTTTCATCGTCAGGTATACCTCATATTGCACTCCAATGCCACAGCCAGGGCGACTCACATGACTGAAGGGATAGGTCACTAACATTCTTTCTGCGACCAGCGACAGTTTACTGCTGCTCATCGAGAACGTTCGCATAGTGGCAACAACCTGTTGGAGAGAGCAGTAGAGATGTCTTGAAGATAGTCAAAGAGTTCACAAGCGATACCTATATGGAACATGGATATTGAAAGTTTGTCCTACGGTTATGTTTATCTCGTGCATCTAACGTCTACCATAAAGCGGCCTAGCCCATATATCACCATCTAGTTTCGTCATCCGCAACATACTGCATTAATGCCAAAGACAGATATCGAGCGTTACCGAAAGAGCTATCCCGGACGACAAGACAAGGATAACGAGTAGCAGAGGGCATCGAACGCGGGAGTTCCCTTTCACATTGGCTTTGGAGGACGTGGCCACTAACTCTAGAGCTCCTTGATGTTGGTGCTGGATGCAGGCGGACCAATGTTCGACAGGAGCACACACGACACTTTGATAGGTTCCGCTTGGTGTATCTCCCAAGCTAATCTAACTTAGCTAGAACGCAAGAATGTATCAGGGTCATTTTTACAACAGAATGAAAGAGGATCGCAGATCAACACGTGAATATATACCAGACGACAGCAATGCGGCGTAGAACTACACGCCAATATGAACAAAAACCATCCTCTGCTCGAGCGGCACTTTCGTCTTCACCGCGTGCGTAGCACAGTTCAGTGCCCAGGCCGCCCTCGTACAGTCCATGACACCACCTTTCTTCAAATCTCCAAACATATACCCGTAAAAAGCTTCGACGACGTGCTTTGCGACAGAATCGTCGACTTCCCACAGCGTGCCAACGACGCTCTTGAATCCTGAAAACTGTAGACCAGCTGCGAGGTGAATCACTTCATCAGGCGTCTCCTCATCCCCTACAGCTGTGTGACAAGCCGATAAGAACGCGAACTCGGCCTGCGGAATATGTCTTTCCATTATATCGAGCAGTGTGAGATGTTCGTCTCTCATGACGAAATGCGAATCGTAAGGCTGTTTAGGATCTTGCTTGCCATGACAAGCGAGGTGCACCCAGGTGTTCTGCTGCAAGGCTGAGAGTGCACCTGCTCGTGTGGCTGCATCGCCAGAAATAGTAGTGCGGTTGGCCGTCGCAGGAACGAGCTTATGGACAAGCTCGAGCTCGCTGTCGACGGCCAACAGCGCCTTGCCTTTCCCTGCACCCGGTTGACCCTGTCCGATCGCCACAAAGGACGGAGGCACGCGCTTCTTCATCAACTGTCTAGATCTGATCAGAGCCGAAAGTGTTGGCGTGTAAGAGCAGATGTAGAGATCCTCCAGGCATGGCTCTTTCCCAGAACGATCCGCCTTTGTTTGAAATGGGTGAGCTGCATGGAGAGGAATGGACGTGAAAGCCGCAGTGGGACACAGCCAAATTCGAGAGCGGCGCTGTAGTTTGAGGACGTGCTCGAGTACATCAACGATAGGTAGCATGATCTGGTCCCATATTATCCGCAAAAGCACTATGAGGTCCGTCCTCAACTCCCGTGGGTTCATCCGAGATGAATCTCGTATTGCCCTGGTGAAGCGATCCTTGAGAATCTTGAGATCTGCGAGAGCGATGGACGGCAAAGGAACATGATAGGGGTCTCCTGACGTCGGGACGATGACGGCGCTGCACGAGTATTGACTGGCAACGAGGATGATAACTGGGCCCTGGCGCGCTGCGGCTTGGAGGTCTTCATATGAAGGTGGAAGCAGGAACCGCGAGAACGCTGGAAGATCGCGTATCTCAGCTACAGCTGCTTGCCATTGCCTTGTACGTCTCCTATACTCCATTGCTTCCCGATCGGCAGCAGCTCTGTCGGTGATGGTTGCAGAACTCTGGGCTGCATTGGAAACGAGTTTGCTCAGCTCCAAATAATTGTGGGCCAGTGTCGGATTTGCCGACTCGAGGTCTTCGACTGGAGTCCTGAGTCGAGATGCCAGCGACCATTGCTGGCCACGACCCTGCTCCACAAGTTCAACTGCTTGTCGTAGATTGTCACGACGTATGGCACATGAGGCTGCATCTACAGGAAGTGACCGCGCACCACGAAAGGCGGTTGCAGCCTCACGCCGCGAGGTGATCGACGATCGTGTCATCACATGGCTGTCAAAATGTTCAAAGCACATCTGGTATGCTTCTAGGGCTGATTCATGTCCACAGACTTCTGCTTGGCGAGCCCACTCAATAACCTCCATGATGCGTCGCGGAAATCCTTGAGTAGGATGTCTTGATGCAAATCTGAAGTTCTCTATAGCGAGCGACAAATCAGCAGGATCGTGTAGAATCTGGTAACGAGACATATAGGCTTCCCGCAGCTCAAAATATGAGTAGTATCTGTCTGGGTGCAGTGAATGCAAAGCCGCCAATGATTGTTGGCAAAGTTTAATGGCCTCCTCGACATCTTCATTCTCCTGAGTTTGCGTGAAACGAGAGCAGAGCGCTGAGCTCAAATTGGAAAGATTTATATGGCGCTCTGGATGGTCAAGCCGCTTTAACCGAAGGGATTCGCGATACAAATCAATGGCCTCGTTAAGATCCTCCCTAATATGTGATTTGTCATATCTGGTTTGGAGCGCGAGGGCCAGGTTGTTAAGTATGATGTCACGACCTGGATGCCCAGATGGGCGCAAAGTCAGTGCCTCGCGATGGAGGCTGATAGCTCGGGTGATGTCGTCAATGTCGCCGCGTTTGTTGAAACGTTCCGCGAGGACGCCCCCTAAGTTGTCCAATAAGTAATAACGAGATTTATCCCCAACAGGGCACAGGCGCAGCGCCTCTTCGTGCAAAGATATGGCCTCATCGAGGTCATTAGGTTTGCCTTGGTGATCGAAGCGAGACTGGAGGGAGTAAGCCAAGTTGTTCAGGTAGGTATCATGGCCAGCATGTCCCTCAGGGCACAGAGACACGGCTTCGCGACGAAGTTGTATGCTCGTGTCAATATCATCGATGCTGCCGTGCTGATCAAAGCGTCCTTGAACTGCTCGTGCAAGCTTGTCGAGAGCTCTGGGACGGAGTTGATGGCCCAGAGGACAGAGCTCGAGGACGACTCTTCGAAGACGGATGCCTTCATCGGATGCGTCTATTGGAAGTTTGTTGCATGCGCCAATCACATAATCAACACCATTTTCCCCTGCCGCGATACTACGAAGGTAGGTGCCCTCTGGACAGAGAGGCAGTAGTTCATGATAGAGTTGCGCGGCTTCACGGATGTCGACAGCAGTCCTCTTCTTGTTGTGGCGCCAACTCAGCGCTTTGGTAAGATTATATAGAGATAAGGGACGATCGGGATGGGACTGCGGACGCAATGCAAGGGCGTCGCGGAAGAGGGAAGTGGTGGCATCGATGTCTTCAAAATCATTTCGGATGCAGCCTTTGAGGCGGGCCCACGCGAGGTTGGTGAGAGCCGTAACATGGTCTGGATGGCCGACCGGACACAGGTCTAGAACCAACTGAAAATGCTCTATTGCATCGTTCAGGTGAGAGACATTATTGCTTGTCACGTATGCGGCCAATTGTGTGTGGCCCGCATCTGTGTCTCGAGAAATCTCGCAGTCTATGAGGGACTGCAGTTTGCGTTCTGTGAGCAAAAGCTAACAGGACAGATATCAGCGTCACTCACATCAAATAGTGCTTCGTCCTGATCGTCGCAAGCATTTACAATGGCAGCCTTCAGCCGAAAGGAAGGGTGGAGACCATGCACGGGTGGGAAGGATATATCTACGAGACGTTAGTGTATGTGCATGAATATGAGAAGCGAATCACTCACCAAATGGTTCATCTCCATGATCGAGTAGCTCATCCCACGACATCTGAAGTTTGCCGATGACCTCTCCACCGCCTAGCGGTCGACCAAGCTCAAAAAACGCCCTGATCTCGACTGACAATGCAGGCGAGGAGTGTGATGATCTATAAACCGATGATCAGTTCTCGCATCGCGTCAGACAGTGTCCATAGACTTTACAGAGTGACAGAATTCCCCCACGTTACAGATTGATCAGACGATGAGACACTAATGGCTGATTTCCAGCGCCTCCTGGAGTCGACATTGATGGATATGTAGATGCCAGCAGGAATGCGCCTGGAAGGAACTTGAAGATTCTTTCCGCTGATGACTGTAGATATTGTGTGAGGATGATAAAACAGATGAGAAGGCAATATGGAGGAACTCGCCTTCAAGTCTGATATATCGGCTTTCTGAGCTACCAGGCATGATGGTGTGATGGAGCAAATTGATGAGGATTGAAGATGGGCTGAGTGGTGTGGACGGAATCAGCGAGAGAAAGTAAGACGGGGGTAAGGATGTGGTATGCGGATAGAGTTCAGCTGAGAGGGAGGTTGAGGATTTGGGTCATGCTACGCGTCTATTTCCATATTGTCGAAGGCTGTTCAGCACGATATAGACGCTGGTATGATTGCACTAAGCGCTGGGAATGGAGATCACCAGGATTAGCGGAAAAAAATCAGAGTAGACAATGACATGACCAGTCTTCAGCGAAAGCGAACAGCCGGGGTCGAGCGAGTCTCAGAGTAATTGGACTTGTATCGTGCTATACATCAGCACACCAAGGCGAGATGTAGAATCAAGTGTATTTCGTATGGTAATGCGAACAATGTTAAAACCACTGAAGACGGCGGCACGCTAAGAAGAACCGAATGATTGTATACGACTCGTCCAATTGAGCTGATAACGGGGGAAGGATGATCTAGGTGATGGGAATATATCGATGGCATTATGGCTGAGGACTTGCCAGTGGGCTTCGATGAGGGAGAGACGTCATGTACAGACTCTTAGTTCCTGCCAGGAATTCTATTTTCTATTTTAGTACAACTCGTGTTGCTCATGTGATACCATTGCTACCGCCCATATCAACGGAAACACGCTCTCCTGGACGCTGCACCTCGTGGAATTCCATTAAAGCAAGGGGCACTTTTGGTGTGGTTCGCACTCTGAATATTGTCCAAGGGAATTCGGGCTTGTCTCTGTTGGTTTTAAGTAACAAAACCACATTGTTGACCGCCTTCAAGTTTGCAGCGTGCGTATAGTAGGTGTGTGGCGACTTGAAGCTTGACTCTTTGCTCATTCTAACTGTTGTTCCAGGTCTCAATATTCAATCATGTTCTTCGTCACTCATAATATTATCCATCGCACTCTCCCTTCTGACATGCTCTCGCAATCCCTCGCTGCTGTTTCCACCTTTTTTGCGCGTCCTTCCCTCAGTTTATATTGTCTCTAGCATGAAATACACTGGATTTTACTACTGCTGGCATTTACCTATGCGTCGGTGTCGACTCGAAAAGACCCTGAGATCAGCCGTTCAAGTCCTATCATCCCACGAATATCACTAGGCTAAGACGAGACCATGACCTGATGATGTCCACGGGTACTTTCGGATGCATCCATGACGGTGCTTACATCCGTTTCAGCACCGGGTACCGGCCGAGGCCCAATATGCAAACGAGGCGTTCTGACCAAGGTCTTCGTCCTAGACGATCTTGGGCCCTACAATCGTACGGTCACTCGAGTTTTGAAGAGTGGGTGTTGGAATGTTCACCTACATGGTAAGGAAATGGTTTCACATTGACAGAGTGATCGCGAGCCAAATCTCCTTGTGTATCAATAGAGCATCGTCTGTGCATTCAATTTACATCATATTAAAATGCACTCAAATATACAGATGTCCCATAGGCTCGTGACCAGGCCGGCACAAGTTGATTGCGAGTCTGGTGGTACGCATGAAAGTTCTGGCTAAAAATACAACAGATCTAGTTACAGTGAAAGCGCAAAACCCAAGCCATTGAAATTCACTCATCCACCATCGTATGAAGCCTGCCGAATGTGATTTGTAAAGCGCATCGACACCACATTTGGTATTTTGCCACTTCGCATGCGACTTGCACCATGGAACAATCATATACTTGTACATCCCATCTTTGTTATCCATCGGTAATTTTTCATCAAGGTGAATTTCACTCTACATTGGTTCCCACTTATACTCAGTCATCATATCCGCAGTGTTTGAGTGTTTGTTTCTATACATGCAAGTACTCATCACTCTTGGACTTCGGAACTTCACGCAAGTTCGACACACGCGCCGACTCAGACACAGAATGGACAATACGCCTCACATGTACATTTGCATTGCACCCTTGTGAGTGCTACTTATATTGTATTTGATATTTCTTGTAGACTGGTTCTGCATACAGGTCCGATTCCACATAATATTTGCCTTGTATACAATGCGGCGTGAGTCAACACGATGGGATTTGATACGAAATAATTCTTACTAGCCATTGGGGCTTGATTCCAGAGAGTCCTTGCCTACAACAAGGCTTGCGCGTGCCCTGCTTACTATGCGGTAGGGGTAAGTTTGAAAAGTTCAATACGAAACAAGGCTCACGCGGGCATCGGGTTGCTTGGTGAAAGTCTCCTACTGCATATAACACATGGTGAGTGTGAAATATACGCGACGGGCCACCTCGGTAGGTTCAGCCTGCATGTATCTCATGATAAGTTTGAAAAATCCGGTGCGAAACAAGGCTTACGCCAGCATTGGGTCGCTTAGTGAAAGTCTCTGACTGCATATCACACATAGTGAGTTTGCAATGTTCGGTGCAAAATAAAACAATGCTTACACGACGGGCTGCTTCGGTAGCTTCGGCCTGCGTGCATTACATGATAAGTTTGAAAAGTTCGATGCCAAACAAGGCTGTAATACGCGGGCATCCGGTTGCTTGGTGACTGCATAAAGCACAACATGAGTTTGAAACGTTTGGCGCCAACTAAGCAAGGCTTGCACGATGGGCCACTTCGGTAGGCTCGGCATGCATGTATATGAGCTTGGACCTGGAGAGCGATGTCATGAAAAAGCTTGCTGGTGTGTTGTGGGAGATCGTCGATGGGTACGGGAATGACAGGATGGATGAAGGGAACGACTGATAATGAAAACATCACCCTATTCTAGACAGTAGTCTGCGGCAACCCGAAACAATTGGTACAGGATTATGCACAAATACTTATAAGACGATCAAATACAGGGTATCTTCAAATCTCAGCAATGGAGCACCCTATTCCTATCTCACGTTAGGTTAATGTCCGATTCACCCAGAGACACTGTTTTACCCCTAGGATCTTGCAGGGCAGTCTTCCGTCGTAAATCCGTTGCATGGCACAGCTGAATACGAGGACAGTCGAATGATAGAGCGAAGGTGGAGAGTCAAAAGGGCGTCCATAACACACAATTTACCACGAATAAGAGAAGGAACAATGTGACATGTACCTCAGGGTCCCATGCTTGCGTGGTGGTATCAGGAAAGAACTCCCTTGCCGCATACATGCATAACGATAGCAGTATTGGGAAGCGGATCTAGATATCATCATAGAGCATGAGGGGATTGACAAGCGAGACGCTCAACTCCAACATCTGTATAGTCCTGACGACCTCCGGATCGCATACGCTCACGAGTTCATTGGCTCCCACAAGTGTTCCGTGCAGTTCTGGCATGGGATCATCAGTGGACACGGAGATGTACTCCACAAGTTAAGATGTTGCAGCACCCCAAGGCGAACAAAAGTTGACGAGAACCTTGGTATTTTGAGAGGATTAGGATGCGTAGACTCCATCTTTGGGAAGACTGTATGATTATACTTGAGAGTTGTGCGCGCTTTCTGAATCGCAAGGTAATGTAATGTGAGGCATCGAAGTTTGAGGCTATAACAGACCTTGCAATGCGTTCCCTGCAGAATTATTCAGGAATTGTGAGGCTGCGACTGGGTTGATTATAGAGACCGGACGTATGTGAAGACAGATAGTCCATGACTCAGGCTGTCAAAGGCTGTCAAGCACCACGGAGTGAGACTGAGCCCCATGTCTGAATAGCCCAAGTGGCATCCTTGGAAGGGTTCGGAGCGGAAGAAGTTTTTCTGGATGAACTCCATCAAGGTTCGGTCACTAGTGCGGCGGCCCGGCCAATGACTACATATGGGTTTCCGCAACTTAACGACCCGGCTTCTAACTGGGCGTTAGTCGAGGTCCTATGGTACAGAAAGCTTGAAAGCTTGAAAATTGAAGAATGCCTGGTATGACCAGAAGGCGCGAGTCGGCCACTACTATCTCAAGTGGCAGACGAAGTTAAACAAGTCGAGTACACAAAAGCTTTGGTGAACATTCTAGTAGACAAAAAACGAGAGCATACAAAAACAAGATAGCTAGAGCGCAAGAAGAGGTACCGGTATATATCAGGGTTATTTGTACAACAGAATGAAATAGGATCGCAGATCAACAACATGTGAATATATAGCAGACATCAGCAATACAATGTAGAACTACACGCCAATATGAACAAAAACCATCCTCTGCTCGAGCGGCACTTTCGTCTTTACCGCGTGCGTAGCACAGTTCAGTGCCCAGGCCGCCCTCGTACAGTCCATGACACCACCTTTCTTCAAATCTCCAAACATATACCCGTAAAAAGCTTCGACGACGTGCTTTGCGACAGAATCGTCGACTTCCCACAGCGTGCCAACGACGCTCTTGAACCCTGAAAACTGTAGACCAGCTGCGAGGTGAATCACTTCATCGGGCGTCTCCTCATCCCCTACAGCTGTGTGACAAGCCGATAAGAACGCGAACTCGGCCTGCGGAATATGTTTCTCCATGATATCGAGCAGCGTCAGATGTTCATCTTTCATGACGAAATGCGAATCGTAAGGCTGTTTAGTATCCTGCTTGCCATGACAAGCGAGGTGCACCCAGGTGTTCTGCTGCAAGGCTGAGAGTGCACCTCCTCGTGTGGCTTCGTCCCCAGAAATAGTGGTGCGGTTGGCCGTCGCAGGGACGAGCGTATGGACAAGTTCGAGCTCGCTGTCGACCGCCAAGAGCGCCTTGCCCTTCCCTGCACCCGGTTGACCCTGTCCGATCGCCACAAAGGACAGAGGAACGCGCCTTTTCATCGACTGTCTAGATCTGATCAGAGCTGAAAGTGTTGGTGTGTAGGAGCAAATGTAGAGATCCTCCAGGCATGGCTCTTTCCCAGAACGATCCGGCTTTGTTTGAAACGGGTGAGCCGCATGGAGAGGGATGGACGTGAAAGCTGCAGTCGGACACAGCCAGATTCGAGAGCGGGGCTTTAGTTTTAGGACGTGCTCTAGTACGTGGACGATTGGTAGCATGATCTGGTCCCATATTATCCGCAAAAGCACTATGAGATCCGTCCTCGACTCCCCTAGGTTCATCCGAGATGAATCTCGTATTGCCCTGGTGAAGCGATCCTTGAGAATCTTGAGATCTGCGAGAGCGATGGACGGCAAAGGAACATGATGGGGGCCTCCTGACGTCGGGACGATGATGGCGCTGCACGAGTATTGACTAGCAACGAAGATGATGACCGGGCCTTGGCGCGCTGCGGCTTGGAGGTCTTCATATGAAAGTGGAAGCAGGAACCGCGAGAACGCAGGAAGATAGCGTATCTCAGCCACCACGTCTTCCCATTGCCTTGTGACTCTCCTATACTCTGTTGCTTCCCGATCAGCAGCAGCTCTGTCGGCGATGGTTGCAGAACTACGTGCGGTATCGGAAACGAGTTTGCTCAGTTCCAAATAATTGTGGGCCAGTGTCGGATTTGCCGACTCGAGGTCTTCGACTGGAGTTCTGAGTCGAGATGCCAGCGACCATTGCTGGCCACGACCCCGCTCTGCGAGCTCAACTGCCTGTCGTAGATTGTCATGATATATGGCACATGAGGCTGCATTTACAGGCAGCGATCTGACACCATTGAAGGCAGCAGCAGCTTCGCGTCGTAAAATTGTCGATGATCGCGTTGCCAAATGACGATCAAGAAGGTCAAAACACGTGTTGTAGGCCTCTAATGCGGATTCATCACCATGCTGCTCCGCGGCTACGCTCCATTTGTATGCTATTATAATGCGTGATGGGAATCCTTGAGTGGGGTGCCCCGATGCAAGTCTGAAGTTCTCTATAGCGAGCGACAAATCAGCAGGGTCATGTAGAATCCGGTAACGAGACAAGTAAGCCTCCTGCAGCCATATGTAGCTGAAATACCTGTCCGGGTGCAGTGAAGACAGAGCTGCCAATGATTGTTGGCAAAGAGTAATGGCCTCCTCGACATCTTCATTCTTCTGAGTTTTCGTGGAACGAGAGCAGAGCACCGAGCTCAAACCGAAAAGAGTTGTGGGGCGCCCTGGATGGTCAAGCCCCTTTAACCGAAGAGATTCGCGATACAATTCGATGGCCTCGTTAAGATCCTCACTAACGTGTGATTCGTTATATCTGGTTTGGAGCGCGAGGGCAAGGTTGTTAAGCGTGGTGTCACGGCGTGGATGCCCAGGTGGGCACAACGTCAGTGCCTCGCGACGGAGGCTGATAGCTCGGGTGATGTCATCAATGTCGCCGCGTGTCTTGAAACGGTCGACAAGGACGCCCCCTAGGTTGTCCAATGAGTAATCACGATATTTGTGCCCAACAGGGCACAGGCACAGTGCTTCTTCATGCAAAGAGATGGCCTCATCGAGGTCATTAGGTTTCCCTTGGTGATTGAAGCGGGACACGAGTGAGTCGGCCAAGTTGTTCAAGTAGGTATCACGTTCAGCATGTCCCTCGGGGCACAGAGACACGGCTTTACGACCAAGTTGTATGCTCGTGTCAAGATCATCGATGCTGCCGTGCTGATCAAAGCGTGTTTGAAGTGCTTGTGCAAGCTCGTCGAGGGTTCTGGGATGGAGTTGATGGCCCAGAGGACAGAGTTCGAGAACGACTCTTCGAAAGTGGATGCCTTCATCGGATGCGTCTATTGGAAGACGGTTGCACTCGTCGATCACATAATCGACACCATTTTTCCCTGCCGCGGTGCTACGAAGGTAGGTGCCCTCTGGACAGAGAGGAAGTAGCTCCTGATAGAGTTGGACAGCTTCGCGGATGTCGGCAGC